TAAGAGGAAAATAATAAACTAAGACCATCAAAATGAATAGGCACAATTTGTTTGCTGGAATAATGTTGATATCGTGATAACAGATAATGAAACAGTCACACACGTACTCAGTCGTTCTCAATACAATGATCCATTTGTGGACGTTAGTGAAACATTTTATCTGGGGAATTTTATTTATGCATGTGTGTGTGCATTTTTACCTCTCCATGTTTGTGCTGCTTTTTTTAAAACGAATTCCTAGATGCTTACAGTCGCTACCAAAATGTCTGATATAGAGGTTATCACAGAAAGCTGGCGTGTGGCAGGGATTGTTTGCCAGATAGCGTGCGTATGTGACTGTTTTTGATTGATGATTTACAGAGGAGAAAAAAAGTATCTAGCTGGTTAAAAATAGAATTCACAAAAAAGTGAAGGAAATTTCGCTCAAATCCCTTACAAGAAATCTATCTAGCTTATTATTCGATAACTGTGAGTGAAAATATCATTTTTCTGGTTTGACTATCTAGAGCGTCGTATGAAAAGAAACCTCTTACTAGAACACTGTTTAAAGTTACTATACTTTTCAGAAGCTGTGCCTGAAATAGACATGTGCAGTAAACTGTTGAAAATCAGACATACTACCAAAAGAAAGTGACGAGTGACATATAGAGTGAACAGAAGATATCGACATCAATCCTCAATTTCAGCATACCTTTAAATAGGGATCTGTGTTGTATTGATGATTTTAGCTTGAAAACTTACAATTCCAAACTTGACTCTGATTCTATCATCTTCGAACTGTTTTGATTTAGCTGCCACACTTTTGCGGAAACGCGTTTTTCATGTTCAAATAGGAAGTATGATGTTCCTCACTTAGGCTTTAAACTTGCGGATATGTGTGGTCATTTCAGAAGGGTGAACGAACTCATCCTACCCTCGACCATTTCATAATATGTGGATGGCCAACAAATTAAGGAATTAATGGAAGATTTGATCCATAAAGAGCAATCAACAATTTACAGTCTTTCGGTTGTTTTGTCAACACTGTCAGTATATATACTGATCCCTTTTTCTCAGCTGATCGAGCATGCAGAAAGAAGCTTTTGTATGATAAGTGTTCTACTTTCAATACCTAATGCTGTGCCTGATCTCCAATATGTTATCCACAATAATGAGTGGATTTCACTTCAGAAAAAATTTAATCAGAAATATATATGAAATCAGGGGTCTTAAAACCTCGTTTCACCACCAAGTTATAATAATATCCAGTGGTCTGCCGCTAAACAGGATCACATTTCTTCAACAAAGAACTTTAAAATCTTATTAAGAGGCTTTAAGCTGTAAGTGGAATGAAAACAATAGCTACAAGGTAAGTTTTTCCAAGTCATCCGTCAGTTGATACAACAAAATGGAGACCTATGGATATCAAATTACTCTAGAAAACATGACGTGTGAGACACTGGAATTTTTTATTTTATTCTTGGAGGGCAGGTATGATCGACTCCACTATAGAATGCTTAAATTTACCACTTGCGGTCTTGATCACTCACTAACTTGTTGAACTATCTTCGTAAAAATCCAAGAAAGGTCAATAAATGTATTGGGAAATATGAGTTAGAAGATTAGCAAGAGTGAAACAAAAGAAACCATGGTGCGTAAACGAATTTATGATTCCGAGGATAGGTTTTCCTGTGGGTGCAAACCTCCGAGTGTCGAAAATAAGTTAAACTTATAATAGTTCACAGCTCCTATAAGTTTTGACACTTGGGTTATTAGTTCATTTTATAAACTCCGACGAAACAATAAGAAGAGGTAAATTGTCTGAACCGTGTGATGTATTTGTACAATATATTTCAAGCAGTCTGATCACATACGTACTTGTCATAAGTATTTACATGAAAAATTATAAGGATATAAGGGGTGGAAATACGAAAAGAGGTCGAACAAGAAGGTTGAAGTGAAAACCAAATAATGATTAAAATCAGTAGAGCTAAAACAATATTACATCGAACTTCATTTCAGAGTTCAATCCACAAGGGGAGATTTAATATGATAACAAATTGTTTTTAAATACACAAGGGAGATTTTAATTTCCAAACAGCTAAGGCAATAACAAATTTGAGGATCAGTTCACAACACGTTTTGTAAACAGGTCTAAGGGAAGTAGCAACGTCAATCCTTTGATCCTTCTCAGCGATATATTTTCTGATAAAAGACTTTGGAAGTCGACTGACTTTTATAGGTTCAGATGACTCAGTTTACTTCTAGAAGCAGTTTGGGATATGCTCGGAGGCCTTTACTTCCATGGACCTATGAGTCCTGACTATGTATATTTCACCACACATATTTGAACTGGTAGATGCAGTGGGATGTGACATCGTAGTTCACATGCTGCGAGGGTTTGATAGAGTATACAGGGTCGGTAGCTTCTTATAATCAAAACCTAACTACATAGGAATTTTTTTATTAGCAGCATTAAGTCTGCTTAAGGGTTCCACTATGAGAGTCACTTTTGTACGCAAGATTGACGAAGACATCTTTCTTCCAGACAAAGTGAAGACCAAGAGGTTTCAGTGCTCTGGCTACTTTATACTGGCTAATAAATTGTGATGGTTGGTTGTTTTCCCACAGTGTATCAGTCAATTTTCTTGTCTTGCATTCCGAAGTATAATTTGTGCACATTCGTTAAATTCAGTCAAACGAGCACTTGTTCAGAACTAGAGAAAAGCTGTGATGATTCAGATAATGTTCTTCGCCTAAAAAGTTTTACATCTACAGCGCCTACATCTCAGTCAAATGTGATGAGTCAGAATATTTTATTCTAAAAGTAAAGTCCCACTGAACATGTACAGCCCAACTTGGTGCACCCAAAATCAAAATAACATCCTTGTCTGCAAAATACTTCATTCTATTTACAGAAACTTATATTCTTGTAATAAACCTCTAATGTTTGCAAATCTTTGGTTCTTAATTGAGCTTCAGTGCCATATCACGTTGTATAGGCTTATTTGTCCAGTACTCCTGATCGCATTTACAGAAAGGCAAAACACAAAGTGTCTTAAACTTTAGTTATAATCAGAACAACCCAATGGTTGAGCGATTCTGTTGATAACACCTAAAATTACTAAGATCTTTGAATGGCATTCGTTTTCACTTAGTGCTAACAGTATCCCAAAGATCCTCATTGAGTTATCAGCTTTCTTTATCAGGTTGGTTTTGCAGCAAAGCCACAAGAATACTTTCATATTAGAACAAACTATTCCTGCTGTGCACATGGATAACTTCCTATAAATACCTAGAAATTGTCTATTTTAAATGCATATTAGAACCTACTATCATCGTTCATCTGATTCATTAAGGAAGAATAGTACTTCATTTTCAAAAGGTATTCAAAATCCATAGGTAAACCTCATCTTTTGAAGCACAAACGGTTTTTCATCCTTATTTTTTTCCCTACAACACCAAGAGGTATAGCTTTTCGACATCTGAGATTAGACATCCTTCATGAATGTCTTTCTTATGCAGGCCAAACTCGAAAACATACCTTCCATATGTTACGCACATATCACAACAACGATAGATTAAAAAAACCCGTATGTCGAATTTCAAACATGGCATACAGCCAATAGAGTATGTTTGAAAGTGTGTTGGCCTAAGTATAGAAGGAAAACGGTTCATAATTCTTCTTCTAATAGCGTGGGCATGGATAATGTCAGTAGCTTAACTTTAGAGATACTTCTGTGCTGTTTCAGAAACTTCAAAACTGGAGGTCCAATGCTGAAACAAAGTGTAATCTTCCCAAAAGTATTCTACTTGAGAAGTTAATACCTTCTGGGGAACAGGAAGGTGACAGAAACTATACAGCTGAGTGGTATAAGTGCCCAACCATGTCATCTGCAGCTAACTAGATCAAAATGATTTGAAATCTATGTGGCCACTTAGCTCATTTACATAAAGTTTCTTTAAGGGTAGTAAAGGCAGTAGGTGGTTGGACCAACAAAACTAAGCAGACAGGTGAGTGTGGGAAACCTGCTTAAACAGGACAGTGATGGTAATTACAACTTTTACAAAGGATAAATGAAAGTAGGATATACTAGATATCCTTAGCAGTAATGGCAATATATTGACTGGTCATGAGAGAGAAACCAGCTTCCTACCAGTTGCTTCCAAGCAACTAACATCTAGTAATGACACAACCTGAAATCTATTTACAGGGTGTTCTGCACTTCAGCACTTTGCTTTATGACGACAGTCAGCAAGAACTATCTTAAGTCTTAAGTTAATTAGCGTACTTAAGTTGATAAACAACATTACATGCACGCTGACCTGTAGAATAAGTACTGGCTTGCACTTTCTCTAGCCGGTTAATTAAAATCACCAAAACTTCTAACCCAAAGTGTAAATAGTTTACGCTACAGTTCTACTGTTCTTCATGTTTCTTACCAAAGCATAAGGCAGCCTTCCGACAAATGCGTTTAACACTTACGTGACAGAAAACCAGACCGTAACAACTTTCAATGCTTATTCCCAGATAGTCCAGTAAATGCCTTAATAATATTATAAGTTTGATGATAAATCTTGAACAGATTTCCTGTATTGGTAACGAGAAATCTCTTCATATAAACAGTGGAATTAATTATTTCATCATTGTTTACACATATTTGTCTCCTACGTTTGCTTGAGAGTATCAGCTTTTAAATTAGCCGTGAAAATGAAGTATTTAGACTAAAAAATGTTTATATCTTATTTCCATCTTAAAAGGAAGAGGATACTAGGAGAAAACTTTGGCATATAGACATATGCCTGTGGCCAAATATACACATATAAACACAGGCAAAAAAACGAATACTTTCGTCTTATTTCTATGCATGTATGCGTAAATGTAAGTCTTTATAAAAATGTATACAACCGTCAGCTACTCAATATGCTACACGCTAACAACTATTCTTTTCCTTCTTCATCATATAATTGATACTCATATTTATTTTACGCTTGACGCTTGTTTTAAATTTGGTAACATGTCATGTTGATAAAGCGGGTAGATGAAAACCATCTTGACATTTACCATTCATATAAAGATGTTGTTCGGATCGTTGTCTAGGCTGACTACATTCGTGAGTCGAAGATGTAGCTGAGATAGATTTAGGCTCAGAAACAGCTAGCACCGTCGCCGATGGGGATGATGATGATGTTGATAAAGATACATTATCTGGAATTGAAGCCTGTTTAATACTCACAGAAATCTCTGGTAATAATTGATTTCCCTCTGATAATTTGCCACCATTTACCTGTAAAGAAAAAACCGAAAACGGAAATTTACTTGGTTAACTTATTGTTACCACTGGAAAGCAAAAGCTGAAATAAATGAGGTCATTTAATATCATCAGAAAAGCTTTGATTTCAAACGATTTTTTCATGCGAACGACGATCAGCTGAAAACGTAGCTTAGATTTAAGTGGAATTCAAATCCATCCCATGCGAATATTATCAACCACACCTCCTAAAGTCTGATGTTAAAGGGATAAGAAATAATTTAACTCTCATTGATTGTAGTTAACTTTGAGTATTTCAATCTTTAAACCCTATCATGTGAATTTAAATCAAAGATCCAAGTAATTCTCTTTGTTAACTGCAATCTTTTCGTGAAGGATTGAATATAAGCTGCAGTTTTAAACTTCAAAGAATGACTAAATTTTTCATCTCCGTTTAAGAAAAAAAGTTTCTAACCAAAACTATTTCTACTAAGCACAATGATGATCACAGACAGATTGAAAAACAGTTAGTCTACGAATAGTAACCCATATCACCTTGTCTACTTCTCATATTAACTGGAACTCAATCATGAACGTCAATTAGGTTGACTTTCCACTACATTTCACTTTTCTCGATATAGTATCATTAGAAACCCCTAAATACAATAGATGCCAAGTGATCACTCCAGTCATATAACTTACTACTGGGCTATTCAAGATGCCTATAATTACAAACAAACAGGAAATTAAGACAAAGAAGGTCCCATAGCTTGCTTTAAACTTCCTACCATTTAGTAATTATCCCAAAAGAACTGAAGAAATACTGACTGCATTAAAAATTCCAAGATATTCACAAAGCCTTTTAACTTTACATTTACGTGAGTGATAGTGTCCAGAATAAATGTACCATCCAACAGCCAACTGCGAAACTAATGAAGCAGACTCAAAGCTAAATACTAGCAGCTAGTCTAGTTTTGCTGCTATATTTTAGGGTGTACAACCCCATTATAAGGACAATTTGAATACAGTAACGTCTTGAGAAAGAATTTATTGACTCTTAAAACTGAAGGCATTACCTATCTCACCGTTTGTCGGGAATAATTTATTTCTACTGACAATTAGTTTTTATCAGGAAAACTTATAATTTGCCTATCTAGTTTTCATGATGGATTATGGGGTTTCAACATTTTAAATGAAGAGATTTCATCCTCAGGGTGGCACATATCACACAGTTGCAAACATCTGCCAACCATTACGTCCTGAATTTTAAAGTCTTATGCACCTACAGCTGTCTTGTTTGTCATTCGCATGTTAAAGTTGTCTAACAATTCAGACTCCTAACAGTGACACTTCAGAAGATAATTGAAACTCATAATAAGTTCAAATGTGTCATACTCTGTGGGTATTAACTTACTTTCAATGGTTCACAGTAACACCCTAACAAACGTTGGTGTAATTCATGTATCTTCGATTTCAAAATATTTTGTGCCAAAGTAAATTCAGTTCGCTGTTTTGTTCTTATATTTTCATAGCGTTGTTTTAAAGTCTGTAATTCATAGTTGAAATTGGTTCTTATTTCTTCTGTTTTCAAACTGTAGATAAATGAGGCAATCAAATATGAGTTAAATAAATATGAATTTGATGTTGGTTTAATATTTTCTGAGCTTTGGTATTTTGTCGTAGACATTTCATCACTAAACTTTTTGGCATCTTCCAAACTAACTTCGTAAAAACTTAGTGCTGAGGATGTCACGACAAATGTCCATAAAAAAATCGATACTTAGACAATACTGAACCACCATCAGCCTTATCCAGAGGTACATATATTTTCTATCAGTTTGTGTATTCCTAGACAGTTTCATTGAGACCATCGAGTGTTTTGATGAGGCAGTATGTATATAACGAAGTGGCTATCAGTTCTGTAAAGCACCAGGTTTACAGACAGCTGGAAAGTATTAGAATTCACCTTCGTAACTAGGTTATTTTATTGAAAAATTATATTTTCCAAACGAAATCAAGAAATATTACTGCTTGTTGTAGTAATTACTAGGGTGAACTTTGTAACCGGCTGTCAGCTGTTATAATTCGGTTCCAAATCAATTGAAAGTATGGAGCTTACATATTCTTTCTAGACGACAATATGAGCACTAAATTCAGCACTCTTTTTAATCGATGATGTCACATGGTGACTCCACCTTTGTATTGGAAATAAATGTGCTTGCTATCCTCGTACCACAAGCATATTCTACACTAATTTAAAAGTAGTTGAAAACAAACCGCACTTTGAAGTGATATACTGGTCATTAATAAATTTACAGTACAACAGATCATTATGTAATGTTGCTGTACGTGTTTTGCTAAGGTTTTGACAACTGTTATGTAAAAATTCAAACTCAACGTAATGGAATAAAATATTCAACATTTCATGTACAGGATCACACTGAGGAAATGTACTGACATACATTCATTCAAGTAGCCAACGAACTCATTCCAAATCATTCTTCTTTATTTACTTCTCTGCAGGTAAACTGCCCACAGAGTCATTCCAAGTGGTTGGTGTCGAACTGGTAATCACCTGTTGCTGTGTTAGTCTGAATTCAAACCACACAGACTGAATATATGTCTTGTCCTAGTCTTTAGATCCCCTTGTCAAGTTGTTACCAGTTTGTGACATCACCCCTTATCATATCAGTCTACCAGTCACGTGCTATTCAACTAAACCAGAGATGACAAGCATACTTATTTGACGCTTTCAGACAACAGAGTTTAAATAGTATTTCAATGAGTCGAAACTTCACTTGTCCCCATTTTCCGCAATCCACTTTTAAGTACTACCTGGTACTGAATCCAAATAAACCAAAAGTATAATGTATGTTGGTAGTACTATGTGGATGTGAATCATTTCATGGTGGAAATCACTGGTGCGAAATTCCTAGACTTCAAAGTCAAGGGAGAAGAAAAATACAAAACGTGAGTGCTCATGATTATCACCTTTCCCAAGCAACGGATGATCATGATAGCTGTCACAGTCCACAATAATAGAAGAAAACCTCCAGTGACTCTCTTGCTTTTGTTAGTTAGCGAGAAGAAATGAATTCACATCAGTGGCTGCCTACAAGGGGACAAAAAAATGCAAATATGCGCCCGTTAATTTCTGAATCTTTCTACCTAATTATAGGTTAACTCCATCTAAGACAGACCAAGAAATGACTAGATAACTAGAGGGAAATTTTAAAATGCATAGGTTTTATTACAGGTTGAACTACATTATCACAAACTGGTCCTGTGATGTAATACAAGGATAGATTGATTAACATTTGACCATATGAGATAGCCATCGTTTAGCAGATCAGTATTGATACCAGGTGATGATTGAAGGTGAAATAAAATTTGGGCTGTGGCAGGATCGAAAAGGCTACCACTGGGTTTCTAGCCTGGTACTCTATTAACTGAGGTACAAGACCCGACTGCTGGCTAGATTTTTATTTCACCTCAATCACCAATAGTTTCGGCCGGTGATACTTTGATATTTGTTACTTCCAAAAGAGATGAAGACATAACTAATAAATGTATGATAAACACTTCGTCCACACATCTCTTGTAAAAGTCTAGCCTCCCAATAGTTTGTGCAAGACTACTGTTTCTCGTTGCAATACCAGATCTCTGTCAACAGACCTCACTGTTGAAAAGAAACTGAACACTTAGCGTGCACCTAAGCTTGAGTCCCTTCAATTAAGATCCCAATATCACTACATTAACATCCTGTTGTCAGCATAGTTGCATACAAATTATATTGTTTATTTTAAAGTAAGGTATTGCAGCTAGAGAGAAAACATTTAAGGAAAAATTGACCTTCCTAGAAGAGCTTAAACCACTCGTAGTTATCAGTAGTTTATCCTTTCACCAGGATCACTGGCTGAGGTAATGTATTGTTGAAGTAAAGAAGTAAGAATGTGAACTGAATACTAAGTAATTATACCACAGTAAATGCCTTATGTGACAGCAATATTTTAAGAAGTATAGAATGAACAACAAAGATGACTAAGTGCCTCTTTTGCATATGGTTTGGAAAACTCATCTAATGGCATAGTGTAGTATGTTGCCCGTGCGAATGTCTATAATCAGCAGAAATATTGCGACTGAAAGAAACAATTATAGACTATTATTTTTAACGCACCTTGTTGCTAAATTTAGATATTACCATCATTTATGTTTGTATTTCTGCTTATCTTTCAATAAATATGATTATTTTCCAGGAAAACTACTACCTGGTAAGTAGTACGATCTCTGAGTCGCATTACTTTGCTTTTTTGTCCACAGGCAAATTTACTCAACACTATTAGTAATACAGCAAGAGCGATTTCATAATATTCACATTATTTTAAGCCGTCCTCTTGATCATGAGAAATGCTAAAAATATGATACATTTTTAGTTTGCTGAAGCTGACTTTCCTAGCGGCTAATAATTATGTTGGTGTTAACGTTTTCTGTCTTAATTATTAGACATAATATCTAGGGTAGAAAACCACATCCAAAATCCAGCAACTGTACCATGCCAGTGCTTACAGTAAATAAAAGTATCTGAATGATAAACTCTGTGATTTTCATTCCACATTAGAGAGTGCAACACAGTGTTACCCTACAAGGAAGGCACATCAGAAACTTTGCGTAGGATACTCAACAAAGCTGGTATTAGGGTGGCATTTAAACCTACAAACTCACTCAGAAATAAATTTTTTAGCCTTAAACATCCAAAAGAATCAATCAAGTAAAATAAACTAGTCTATCAAATTGAATGCAATGACTGTTAGATCAAGTACATAGGTCAAACTAGTCGGCAGGGTCATTTAGAATAGCCGAACGTAGGAATATAACTAAATATAGAATATACAATCGGTGGAGGGGTGGTGGTATTTGTTCAGGTGGAAGAGATAGGAAATGGGTCACCAAATAAGGAGGAATGAACTGATGATAAGTGGTGAGATAAGCGACAATTTATTATTATTATTACCATTATTATTATTATTATCATTATTATTATTATTATTATTATTATTATTATTATTATTATTATTATTAGTCCCTTGGGTTCCTAGTGGGACATAGGGCTTCAGTAGCACGTCTCCAGCGACCTCTGTTCTCTGAGATCTTTTGAACCTGGTCCCACGACAGCCCACAAGCTCTCATTTCCTCCTCGCACGATCTCCTCCATGTCACCCTTGCCTCGGACACCCAACTCGTCGCTTCCCATAGGGATTCCACTCGAGTAACTGGCCTGACGCGTGATGTCCTCAGTCGGCCTTCTCAGTGCATGCCCAATCCATCTCCACTTCTTCCTGCATATTTGTTAAGCGATAGCTTCTTGGTTGGTTCCTTCCAAGAGCTCCTTGTTGCTTATTCTGACTATTCTGGCCATCTGATCTTTAGTAGCAAGCGTAAGCAGTTGTTGATGAATGTCTGTAGTTTATTGGAAATGCCTTTCGTGACGCGCCAAGTCTCTGAACCATACAGGAGCACTGACTTGACGTTGGTGTTGAAAATCCGTATCTTGTTCCGCATGCTGAGTGCAGAAGATCTCCACACTGGTTTCAGGCTAATGAACGCCTGTCTTGCTTTTCCGATTCTGACTTTGACGTCCTCGTCCGTCCCGCCTGTAGTTGAAACGGTGCTTCCGAGATAAGTGAAGGAGGTTACTTCCTTCAAGTTTCTCCCGTTGACGGTGATTTGAGTTTGTTGTTGTTGTTGATGGTGGTGGTGCGGTATCTTCATCACTTCTGTCTTCTCTATATTCACCTGAAGTCCCGTCTTCGCTGCCTCTTCTGTCAACTTGTTAGTTTTTGCCTGCAGATCTTCAAGTTTATGTGACATTAGGCACAAGTCATCGGCGAAATCCAAGTCTTCTAGGTTCTTTTCCGTCGTCCAGTGTATCCCCCTCTTCTCGCTGCCTACTGTTTGCTGCATGATCCAGTCCACCACAATAAGGAATATCATGGGGGATAGTAGACAACCTTGTTTCACTCCTGTCTTTACTTCAAAATCATCACTGAGCTTCCCATTGTGAACTACTTGGCATGTGGCATGCGTCTTCATATAGTTGTTGAATGAGGCTGATAAAGGTTTGCGGTACTCCGTAGTATTGAAGCAGTTTCCAAATTACTTCTCGGTCGACGCTGTCAAAGGCCTTCTCAAAGTCGATGAAGTTGAGGCAGAGAGCTGATTGCCATTCTACGCTCTGTTCTATGATGATGCGAAGCGTTGCAATTTGGTCTGCACATGATTTGTACTTCCTGAAGCCTGCCTGTTCCGGTCGTAGTTTTGAGTCCAGTGCATCTTTAAGCCTCTCCAGGATGATGCGGCTTAATATTTTACTTGGGGTGGACAGGAGAGTGATTCCGCGCCAGTTCTTGCAAGCACTGAGGTCTCCTTTCTTCGGCAGTTTGACAAGGTAACCCTTTTTCCAATCACTAGCCAGGTACCTTCTCTTCACTCCACACCTTCTGCAATAGTGGTGTGGTGTGAGCATGTCCGCTGTTGTCTCTGCATCTGTTCTCAAAGCTTCTGGTGGGATCCCATCTGGTCCTGCTGCTTTCCC